TCTGGGCGGTGCCACAGCAACAGTGCGCTTGCAAAAATATTGCCGGGGGAAACAGGTTTTGGTGTAACATGCCCACAAAAATATCACCTACAGGACACAAACCATGGCAGAAAAATGGCTACATCCCCGAAAGATCAAACACCGCAAAAGTTAGTAAAGGACGTGTTGAAAACGGTTGAAAACTGCTACACAACCGGAGGTGGTAGAGCGGGACTTCAGCGGGTGGCTCGTTCTGCCCAATGAGAGGCTGATCTCTGCAGCAAACTTCCGCCCACTCAGACTATGCATACTCCAACTGTTTGGCCCTAACATGTCATTTATCAGTTCATAATATGGAAAAGCGGAACAGCTGGAAACGCCTGTGCCATTTTGTGTCTTTGCATCAAAATAGAATAGTTTTTATTTTGTTTTTCACTGGTTTCACTCTTGTTTTACTATGCAAATCCACGGCACTGTGATATTTGCACATATCCAAAAACCTGTTGATATCCAAGTCTATCATAATGTTTAAAAGTGGGTGTGATTCTCCTTCTGACCAGAAATGTGGGCTTTTCTTTTGGGCATGCATCTCTACCCCAGTCTTGCAGATTGTTGGTGAGTTGGTTTGTGTAAATGACAACGCACAGAGCTGACCATCAAAAGGCAAGAGGCTGTGTGTCGCAAACCGCTGTAAAGATCCCAGTGGAGAAGCATATTGTGAAACAGGCACGTGCACAGATAGACCCCAGGTGGTGCTCAAGCACCTGCCCTTCTGGCCTCTGACTAGTTAAGTGCCCTTTTTGCGAGACTTTTTTCCATTTCTTGTAGTCATTTTACATTTTAGTTTTTAAATGTGGACCTTGGCATCAGATCTCAATTGAACACGAGTTGTATGACCGAGGAGCCCTGCCCCTCTCTCTTTAACTTCCCTTGTCACAGTCACCATAGTTAACAAACACAAATTGAGTGCCGTGCAGAGCAGCAACGTCTCCCTGACCTTCCTTCATGAACAGCCAGGTAATGATAGTGTTTGTCCTGAGCCTCAGCATTGTTTGTCATTGTTTTTAAATTAAATCACTATTAAAACATCTCAATATAGCAAGTCTAACTTAGGCAATAACCCACTATTAATTAACAACAAACAAGCAAGTCTGGGGTGAAACCATACTGTCTCCCTCAAACTCTCTGGCAGATTTGGGTTCACCAGCTGCCCAGTGCAAGCAGAATAGAATAGACTATAGCATACAATATATCTTTATTGTCCACCATGGATGGAAATTTGTCTTTGGCTCACTATCCACTGTGAGGGTCCAAAGGACAGAGGGATGTCGTATGCTGTAAAGCCCTGTGAGGCAAATTGTGATTTGTGATATTGGGCTTTATAAATGATTGATTGATTGATTGATTCAAACACAAAAGACAACATTGTAAAAGTAGACAAACAGTCAGTAAAGCAGGCAAATAGAGTCATTACAAAACACAACACTATAAATCAACTCAGTGTCTGTCTGTGGTTTAAAACTCATCAATCATTTGGTTGAGTTAAGGATATTGATGGCACTCGGGATGAAGGACTTCTTAAATACATTTTTGGTTGCCAGAGGGACTCTATAGCGCCTCCCACAGCTCAAGAGTTCAAACTAGCCAAGAGGATGTCAAATTGCTTTCCCACCTCAACGTGTCTTTATGACCGAAAACACACTTTGAAACAATGTTTACTTCTGCTGCACCGCAGCTCTGATAATTTTATCTGACAAATCTGATGTAGTTTGGTGCTGCATTTAGAAAAAATGAGAAGGAGAAGAAAATGAGAGGAGGAAAACAAATTTAGAGGTGGAGCGCAAAGGAAAACAGTGGAGAATAAAGTGAGGAGAGGAGAGAAGTTTGGAGGGTAGATTGGTTGGTTTATTATTTTATTTTTTCATTTTTCAATTTTATGTAAAGATTTGTTCATTTTGATTGGTTATTTATTGTATAGACCACCAAAGCATGCACAATGTGGCATTATTTTCTTTGTTGTTGCCTGTTATAAATAAATAATAAATGTAGAAAGTGTATGTGTAGCAGCTGTTGGGTGCATGTAGTATAGATCTTGAGACACCTCAGATGTACATTTCCCCCGGTCATACTGCTTGCCAAGGAGGGTCGTGTTCGCTCTTGCCGATGTTTTGGCCAGATGTTTGCCTGCTCTCACAAAAGGGGTGGTGCTTGGAAGTCCCTGCATGGGAGGAGGGAGGGCATTGGTGGTGGTTCTCCTTCCTTCCAGGATGATCGAAAACGTGTTGGTTTATTTGTTGTGAGAATGGTTTTTATCTGGTTTTGCAAATGAACACTTCATATATGATACATGAGAGGTAATATTACGATTTTAAACAATAGTATCAATGTCAGAGTTTCTAGTGTTTCATCTGTCTGCAATCAGAATGGCAGTTTCTCATTTCTCCAGTTGATGTAAGTGTGCATGAGTAAGTCTCCCTGGAGGACCGCACATTCTTCCTTCGTGTTTGTTTTTTGTACAAATGCTAAAGTTTGCTTGCCTTCTTTTGCTTGTACATGACATTTATAAATGAGGCCTTCAAGCAGATCGGGTATGAGCCATATTTGGCTGATTCAAATTAAATACAGTTTCTTTCTCAATATCGTAAAATGTAGTGTGTCTGCTGTCAAACACTATTCAGTGATTACTCAGGGCCACTGAATGTTCATTTTAATACCACAGCAGTCCCTAGTGCATGTCCCCATGGTGGCGATATAATAAAAAAAATAATTATAATCATTTTTTGGAATGGGAACCCATTTGGCAAAAAGTTTCAGCTTTTCAATTTGATTTTGTTTTTACCACATTGCACACATGGAAAGTCCAAACCAAGCCACAAAAAAAGTCTCATCTCCCAGTATGTGAAAAAATAATTATGAGGTCTGTCACTACATTGTTTAAAAATTGCATAACCAATCCAAAAACTCCTAAAGGTTTTGTTCAAATGCTGAGGACATTGTGACAGTAAATGTATTAGCTTAATATGTACTGTACAAACAACACATCTAAGCTTCAAGGGTCTCACCCATTTTAACCAATGAATTTTCAAAACTTTTTCCAATTTTTTCCATAATAATTTACCCCATTTCCATGACTTTATTGGTGTAGTTTAAAATTGGTAAGGTTAGGTCTCTATAACGATCATAGGATGCAAAAAATAATGCTTTTAATCCAGTATGCTTTGCCCTAGAGACAGGCATCATACCAAAAATGTAGCATTGAATATGGAATAAAATGCCCAATGTGTTTTCAGTGGATGCTTAGTGGTAATGTTATTTGGCCAGGCTATGGCAGGCGTGAAATATGAGCCAACACTGGCAGTCTGTTGAGCAGCCTTTTGGTTTTCTTGATGCCTTTTCCCTTTAGCATGGCTGACCAGAGCCACTTCCTCCAGCAGGCTGGTGCAGGCTCTACATCCAGTGCAGCTACAGTCTGCCTCTCTCGACTCATGTATTACATTTGTAGTTTGAAAGCCATACATTATTAAACATGCACTTCCAAGGAATGTGCAGATAAGCAAACTGCTAGCGTTTGCTAACTCCCGCCACTCACTAGCTGCATACGCAAATCATGTAATACTAGTTAAGTCAATGATGCAGCACAGCACTAAATTTTAGCTTTTTAATACCAAAAGCATATATTGCAGGTTGGGGGATTTTTATGAACATATTTTCAAACAATACACAGGGCTCTCAAGTTTTGATCTCAGTTCAGAGTGAAATTTTTTGCAGCAGGGTGCCACAGGCTGAAGTCGAACTCGGCCGCTGCTTTTTTACTAAAGGCTCTATCCTCTAAGCCACCAGCACTCTGTTAATGAGGCTGCTGTTGTCTAAATTTGACACGCGGTCTTGTCAGACTGTTAGGTAACAGCTGATATTCCCTGAGATAAACTCTCATTGTATTCCTTTTGTGCAACAAGTAATTTCATTCAGTAGGCTACAAAATCAAATGATGAGATGACTTACTGTACACATGTGATAAGGCACCCCCTCTTGTGTGTGCACCCTCTTCTTACTGCAGTCAGATCACCTGTATCTTACCCAGATACAGCAATGCTATTTTCTGATTGGCTGATGGGTAGCTGTATGTTATTTTTTGATTGGCTGATGGGTAGCTGCATCTTATTTCTATTGGCTGGAGCGTGACAAGCGCTTGTTGAGCCCTCTAGTAACCACAGCATCTTGCAACACGTTCCACTACATATATGGTGGGCGTTATTGTAATATTTGTTTTTTTATGCGTGAGAAATACCAGGTGTGGCGGGTGAGAGTGTGAAAAGGTTAAAATGCATGTGTCACACTCTAAAAGCATTAGACTTGAGAGCCCTGCTATACATGTTCAAAATATTTCTAAAACATTCTGTTTAACTCCAAACCATTTCTAAGCGTGGAAAACAGTTTTTCTAATTTCATAGCCTGTATAGGAATTGCATGACTGTGGGAACCTTCAAACTGGCCAAATGTGTCATCAAACTTAAAGAAATTATCTTCACACTATATCTCTCCTATCAAATAAAGGCAAGAGAAGCCCCCAAAAATATCGGAAAGAAAATTAATCTGTGTTGGAGACATCCTGTTCAGGAGAAGCCTGTGGTGATCTGAAGGTATACCACAGTCTCAAATCCAGATCCAATATGAGACGTTTGCTAATGTCCATCTCTCTGTCCCCTGACTTCCAGTTGTTTCTCTGCTATCTACTTTGCAGTAAAGCATAAAATGCCTCAGAAATAGTTCACTGTTTTCCAAACTCACTGTGATGTACTGATCACAGCCACAGTAATTGGGTCAGGGCAGAGGCACATCACCAACCAGTTGTGTCAGTTTGATTGAAAAACATGGAGTAAAGGAGATGGGAGACTCTTTTGTCAGAGCTGTGAAGCTGCCTTTGTTCAGACTCTAATCCAGGTTCTCTGTGGATGATAATGTGCTCTGGGTTCATGATAAAACAACACCTCTAATTCTTCTTTCTGTCTCCATCTCCTCAGGGACGTCATCAAGAGAATAGACCAGTCAGAGTTTGAGGGATTTGAATACATCAACCCCCTGCTGCTATCCACAGAAGAGTCTGTATGAAGGGGAGACCAGCTTTCTCCTTCGCCCACCTACTGTCTGTCCAAGCTGCCGTCTCAGCCAAAAAACACTCGCAAGCCAACTCTGAAAGGCGAGGAGGAGGAGGAAGAGTAAAGGACAACAGGGAGGACGAACTCACCCTCTGGACCTTGTCAACAAGGCGAAGGAAACTGGAGAACGGGAACGTTTCCTTCCTGGCGATTCCGATTGTTTTGTTGGGATACCAACTCTTCTTTTCTTGGTATCTACAAGGAAAACAAAGACGCTGGACTTCAAGAACATTCCCTGTTGTTATGTTGTCTTCCCCTTTTCTTTTTCTTTTTTTTTTCTCCTTCGGCTTCATTCCTTTCTCAGAATGTCCATCCTCATGTTGAAGCACGGCCAGCTTTGTAATTTAAACAGAGAGCTGTTTCATTCTGTGCCTGCCATCATGAACACATTTCATCCCGAGTCACATCCCTGGATTAATATGACAGTTCTGCTGAAGAACTTGAAATTTTAACGTGCACTTTTTTTTTTTGTTAATTTTTTTTTCTATCTTGTAGGGGGAGGGCGACGGCTCACACAAAACAAGAATGTACAATGGCGAAGGAAAAAAATAAGTTATTATTGTGTATTATAATGTAGGTAGTGAATCCAGAATTAACGATGCCTTTTTATTGATGCAAGTGGCACATTTTCATCGTAACCACAAAGATTTCTTTTTGTTATCTTTTAGGATTTTCACAAACAACGTGGGGGTGGGGTGGGGGGGTGACTTTTTATTTAAGAAGTGCCTCAAAGATCATATTAATTACCATGTCTCTGATTGCACTTATCTCTTATTGAACATCTCTTCACCCATCTTGGCGTCAGAAGGTAAAGACCAACTGAAACCATGGATAGACTAATCCATAATGGGGGCTGGTCCAGACCACTCAAATTTTTAGTGGAATCAATATTTTTGGAGCAGCCTGCCTCAGTCCTGACACATGACTGAATTTTTTTATTTTTAATGAATCAATTGAAATAACCACAACAGATTGTTTATGACTGGTCTATAGATTCACAGCAGTCACATCCAAGCATCCAGCTTGATGTTTCAATGTTGTTGTTTTTTTTCATGTCACAGATGGGTGTCGTGATGCAAGCAACAGTCCTGTATTCGTGATGACACTCAGTATAAAGGTTTAGGCTATACAAGCCAAAGTATACTTGCTGCCAATCACAGTTTGGCAGCTTTAGGAACACATTATATCAGGACTTCAGCTAAAAAACAAAGCAGTGCATTGGCTTCAGCCTCCACAGTGTGGACAGGCTTGCTGGCCGAGCTCAGATTCTTCGACACCAGCTGCCACTGCGTGACCATCTGCAGCCAGTCAAAAATATCATGTGACCGGTTGGTTGTGCTGTCTTGTGGAAATGTGTCTCCATTTCCATTTTGGGCTCATCGTGTGTTTCCATCTCCGTATTAAGGCTCGCTTTACGCGGTGTAACTACAGCTCTGTGCGGCTTAAAGGGACAGTTCACCCCCATAACAAAAATACATTATTTTCCCCTTTTTTTTAATCAGTCTAGATTGTTTCGGTGTGAGTTGCATAGTGTTGGTGAGAGTGGCCATAGAGATGCCTGCCTCCTTTCCAATACAATGGAACTAGATACAGTGTTTCCCCCAGAAATAGATTCTGTGTGCTGTGGTGGTAGATGGGGGGTAGGGTTTTTTTGGGCCTGTGAACGCAGCACAAGCAGAACTTTTAATAACTTTTCAAGCTGTTTAATGATCATATTCAAGACTTCCTTTCAATCAGTTTGTGGTCGAATCGAGTAGAGCTGATCAGATTAGATCGATGGATGGAGCAGCGGCTGCAGAGGTGAATGACAGCAAACACATGTAAACTACATGGGTATGCAGTCGGTTTCATCTGAAGTAGTTTGTAAAAACAATAGGTAACACTAAAACTATATAAATGAACAAACAGTTCAAAATTAAAAAATTTAGATGGGGAAGTGGATGCTGATGTCAAATACATAAATGTGTGGGAAACCCTGTAGATGCCACTCAGCTTGTGGTGCTCAAAGCACCAAAAATAAATATGATAGATGAGCTAGCAGTAGATGCAGACTTCTTCTGTGCAGGGATGCGGTTGGTGGGTATAGTTCAGTAGAAAAAAAATAGTTCCAACATGAAACTGCTCACAACAAGGTCTGTAGATTATCTTGAGTTAGCAGGTCATGATTTCTGGAAAGAGACATTGCTGATGAGTTTTTCAAATGTAAGTTTTTGGTGCTTTGAGCACCACAAGCCGAGTGTCATCTAGTTCCATTATATTGGAGAGAAGGCAGACATCTCTACAGCTGATATCTCCTACAACGAGCAACTCACACTGAAACAATCTAGACTGATTAGTAGCACCACAGGTAAGAGGAAAATATGTTTTTTGGATTTTGGGGTGGCCTGTCCCTTTACGTTGTTACATTGTTCCTTTAGTTATATACATCCAATGAAATTACTAATCTCCTGTTGTAGGAGGACATCATTCTAAAATTATTAAACATCTTAAAATTTAGTTTTAATATTGTTTTATTTCTAAGAGGATAAAAGGTTTTTAGCGATCCATCAGAAATGCTTCAGGCCAGCATATAATGTAAACACATTTGCACTGGTGACTGTCGTGTTCAAGCAAAGGACAGCATTCTGTCAGCAGTGACGTTGAATGAGCATCAAGAAACCAAAAGATACAAAATATAAAACGTTTTTTTCCTCAAAGCACAGGATTACAGAGCAGATATGCAGTTCAGTTTCACTTATTAGACAGGAATCCTATCAAAGTTTCACTTGAGTCATATGTGTCCTTTTATTATGTTTCATCACATGGAGAGTAATACAGTGATTCTCTACATATGTTAAAAGTAGGGTCTGGAGAATTTTCCAGTTGCTGTTTGTAAACACACATTCAAATTTGGCCCCTCCTATCAGGCTTAACTCTCCCGGGTGTACGGAGCCCAGAGGTACAGAAGAAGGCTTCACAGAAGAGGTTCAGGCAAGGCTCGCGCTGGTGCACGCTCAGACACGCTCGGGCACGGCACCTGCGCTCTCTCATTGGCTGGGGAAATCTCCGCCCAGGAGCGGTTCGAGCTCACAAAAACATTGAAATACAGTTAAAGGGCAGGAGCTCTGCAAACAGAGTCACCACCACACATGAGTAGAAGCCCATAGGTGATGATTAAGCAGGATTTCATTTGTATATGTCTATATTTTCTTTTGTTTGAAAATCCTCCAGATCCTACCTTTAATGCTGGCATTTGTTTTTTTCTTCACTTCAAAATGAAGTAGCCGTTTAACATAGTTCTCTAACAATATAACTGAGTTAACTGACAGACAATAACTGCAATGTGTGATGGATGTTTTTAGACATTTTGAAGGTCCAGTGTGTAGGATTTAGGGGGATATTTTGGCATAAATACAATAATGAGCAGTTTACATCTACATTTGGCCACGGTCCTCTTCCACAGAGTCCTCCTTGTTGTTCTACAGTAGCCCAGAACGAATGAACAAACACTGGCTCTATGCAGGGCCATTCAGGTTTCGTGTCAGCCACCGTAGTTCTCCCACACACTTGGCACATGTGAGGAGTTTCAGTTAATTGCAACTTCACCACTAGATTCCACTAAATCCTACACTAGACATTTAATACTTTAAAGGTGCAGTCAGCGATTCTAATCCAATACACTTTTTATTTAATTCAGTGAGTGAGTATCTCCTCATGGTCCACTAGCTGTGCATTTTGCCCTGTGAAAGCAGGCATGTTGAACTCTGCTGACAGCAATATCTGCAGCTGCACCAACACAAATGCTAACCTGACTAGCGAGCATGCTAGTGAGAGTGTGGATGTAATAACTGTGCACGGGGCCCTTTGACTTGATAGTTTAAGTGTTGTAGGCAGTAACAAAATCTGAACACAAGTGGTCAGCTGGAGATGCATGATAGACACAGGTGTGAATGTTGATGTGTCTCAGCTGTCCACCTGTGTTTGGATCACTGAAACGCATGAATACAGGAATACCTAACCCACAAAGTGACCATTTATAAATCAATTAGTCAACTTTGTTATTTTTGCAGGCCTCTACTGGATACGACTGGATAAATGAAACTTGAATTATACTGAGCAAGTTGTGTGAGACATTTTAAACGGATGTTTTGTTATAGTTTTGCTGTTCCCAGCAAACTTTTGGTCCCCAGTCAATCAGTAAATCAATGTGTTCGCCATTTTCCTTGGAGGCATGCAAGAAAAACGTTTGTTAGGGTTTTTTTTCCCGTAATTTTGAGGTAACACAACATGACTTATTTACAGTTAGGTTTTTTTTGTGTGTGTGAGGTATTCCTTTAATACTAGGTATAAACAGGCATTTTAAGTGCTGACTGAAATGCATCCATAACATCAACTAATGAAAACCTTTTTAATTATTTGACCACAAATAATGTGGCTGTTTAAGTTCAGACAAGCCTAACTTAATATGTTGCCACCTTGCAATCAACATATTTGTAACCAAATTTTGGAGCCTTGTGCTGTTGAAAGGCTGGGATAACATCAAACATGCACGGCACGTGTGTGAATATCAACTACAAGCACAGATTAAAGTCGGCGACAGAAAGAACTCCTTGCCTCTGAAGTGAGCTTTGTGTTGATCTCTACGTCTGTGCACTTCTGGAGAGAGGAAGAGCTCTCTATTGGCTGAGATTTAGTTGATGAAATCTGACCCGTGGTAATTTGATAACCACATAATAGGATTAATTAGCTGATCCTGAGTCAAATGGTCTCAATTAGCCGTAGGGCCTTTACAGGCAGGGAAGGAAATAGATAGAGAGGGGAGAGATAATGAAACAGTTCCACAGTCACCGATTACTCCACCACAATGAATACACACACAGGCACACACACACACTTCAAGAAGCTAGAAATCACTCAACATTCGATGAAGCCTCCTCCTCCAACCCCCCAAACTCCATCTCCTTTGCTGCATTTTATTAATGTCATGTTTTGGTAATCTATTTGCACATCAGGCGATACGTTGGCGGCATTGTTTTTTTGTTTTTTTTTCCTTGAGGGACCAACAGATGAACTGGGAGTCCTTGAAACCACTTTAGAGAACAGTGAAGGCCACTCAGACATCTAAAAGACAGAGAATCTTTATCTCAAACTAAATGAACTCGGTCCATGATTTTTGTTCTAAAACAATGCTGGTTGGATATGCTTCATTTTGCTTCAATGCATCTTTGTAAATATGTGTAATTATTAAAAATGATACTGGTTTTCCGTGAACTGAGTCCTTCCTTTTTGCAGACGATGGCAGAAAAATCTTTGCAGATGCTACAGTTGTGTGTGTGTGTGTGTGTCTGTCTGTCTGTCTGTCTGTCACCTGGGAGTTGGCCTCATACACCAGCACATCCTCACATCCTCTGATCACCTAATACTCTGTCCGTACTGAAAGACTAGAAAATGCAATTAACCAATAGCCATCATAGCAGCATTTTTCTGTGTTTATTTGATATGGAGAAAATAAACTTGAACTGTTTACCAGAAATTAATATTAAAACATCAGCAGTCTTTCGTCAGCCCAGTGCATATGTTAGTGCGAGAGTGCAGATTCATTAAAGGTATACTGCGCAAGATTGACTGTTTGAGAAATGAAGGAACTACTGTCATAATAACTGCATAAAGTACTGTTATAATAAAGTAAAATACTGTTAAAATAAAGTTAAATCAACTACTGTCATAAAAATACTGTTAATGTTAAAGCTAAACAAAGCAGCTACTGTTATAATAAAGTTAATGTTTTGTTATAATAAAGTAAAATACAGTATGGTTATAATAAAACAAATCAAATTATTTTGAAGCACCCAGCTCATCCCGGGCTTGAACTGTTGATGTTTTTGCTGTGAACTTGAAGCTGTCCATGGTTGTCATAAGCAGTTCGTGGAAAGTTAAACTGTTACCACTACACCTTTCAATGTGATTTATTCACTGTGAGCTGGAAACACAATAACAGATCTCCAGTTCATTTATTAGTCATTAGTTTAGTTTATTTTATTTCGGTCATTTTATTAACAGTATTTGCAAGATACAGTAGTGCTCCATGGTTGCAAAAGGCTACTAAATAGTCACAGTCTGGAGCCCTTTAAGTACAAAAATATATGCTTCATCTGCCCACACTATCGCTGAAGTCATAAGTTACACTGCTACCGCTGGGCCAATAAACATGATGATGTATTCCCTCTAAGATGGAAACAAACTAACAGCTCTTCAGTCCAGATATAGATGATATTTACCATAGTAGTGGTCTGGAGCCCTGTGGATAAGGGACATGTTTTGCCTGCTCACACACTAACGCTCAGGAGAAAGGGATCTGGATAGGTGGAGGGGTGTGTGTGATGTATCATGTTTGTGAGTCTTTCTTTGAGTGTATCTGTGAGAGGGAGCGAGCCATAGGAGAGGGTGAGAGAACCAAAATGCAGAAGCAATTCTCATTCCAGTGGCTTAAAAAAACGAAATGAAAATTTGGCAGTGAATTTATTAATCTTTATTTATTTATTAATTAATTAAAAATAAGCCCCAATAGGTATTAAACTCTATTAAACTAGTCTTTCAAAAAGTTTTTCTAATCCTGATGTTGTAAAATCTAAAAAAGAATTGGTAACATCAATTTTTCAAAAAATATAAGTGAATTCCTCTCACACTGACATCACACAGATCAGGACAGTGGAACCAGCAACACTCACATTTTGTTTCCAGCCAGGATGCTCAGAGCACTGTCTGCTAGCGAACTGTCAATGTACCCTGGACGACATGGAGAAGTGCAAATTCAATTAAAATTTAGCTATTTAACCAACATTTCATGACATGGCTGATACTGGTACAAGGCTCAGTTTTTCAAACCCAGCACAATATGAATCAAGTCAGTGGAACTCCACGTGTACAGAAAAACATAAAATCCCCCCTGAAAACCATGCCAACAAACCTCATGTTCTAATTCTGCATACCCTCAGCCCTGTTGTGCCTAGAAAGTGTTCATTTTATTTCAACATTTAAAGTAGATCATCTGACTTTTCCCTGGAACACAAAAATCAGATTCTACATTAAAAATTGTAAAAAACAAAAATAAAAATCCTATGGCAAAACTGTCCCCCACCCTCCGTCATTAATGTCCATTCCTGTTTTTTTTCTTTACTTTTGGTTATTGTAAAATTGCTCTTAAATTTGATTCCGAGTGGCATTAAAAATGTCTGACAAAGGAGTCCTAAAACCCATGAGTTAGCATTTTAGCACTTCTAGCTCCTTCTTCTTAAAGTCGGTGGGTTTTTGGTTAGATGCCTGAAATAAGGTCTGCTGTTAACACAGGCTTAAGAGACTTTCACATTTTGTTCAACAACAAAACCTTATTAAATAGACAACTCGTAAATTTTAAAGCTTTTATACGTTGTTAACAAGTGAAGTTAAGTGTTTTTCCATTTCCGTTCTGCTCTTTTGCATTCTCTTTTCAATTTTCTGATATTTTCAATTATCCAGGGCCTTGGGTTGGAGGGACGGCATGACCTAGCCTTCAAAGGGGCCATTTGGTCTAGAGATCTCAGGCTGCAAAGTCTGCAGCTGAATTGCTATTGAAAATGCATATGTACACAGTTTGCTTAGAGCAGGAAGTGACAGAAATGTTGTTTATATCAAATAATACCATTTGTGATCAGAGGTGAAATCACTCAGGCAGAGGGAGTAAACCCAGGGTAAAAACTAAATCAAAAGTGTCACCCTGTTCATGTATAGGAGATGAAACATGTTGTTTTAAATCAAAGGAGTCACATACGGATAAAAATTCAGATGTGCAATGATTATGAGGGTGGTCATTATAAATGTTAAAATCACCAACCAATAAAATGCGGTCATAACTAACAGCAATAAAAATCAGAGAATTCTGATTTTTTAAAAAACTATTATTGGGTTTAGGAAGGCGATAGATTGTAATACAACACACAATCAGTCAAAATTGATTTCAAAGATCAGTACTTCAAAGCTGGGAGGTTTCTCCACTGAGATGAGTGTACAGTTTAAATCTTAGACGACTGCAAGTCCACCTCCCCTACCACTGACTGAGTCTAGGTACATTAAAAAATGTATAATTGTGAGGACATAATTCAGAAAATACACTTATATCGCCAATTCTAAGCCATGTTTCAGTTAAGAAGATAAGGTCTAATTTACTGTTCCAGATAAAATCATTTAGGATGAAAGTTTTATTGGCCAGTGACCTTGTATTTAGGAGGGCAGAGCTAGCAGGAGTAGTACTTTTGTATTTAGTATGTTTAGGAAATGTTTTTATGGGATGGAGATTAGCAGCATTTACTCCACCACTCAGAGCACTTGCTTTTGTGGGGAAAGAGTGACGTGATCGGTTGGGGTAATGGTGACTACTGGTAATATGTACCAGAATACAGAGAGGTTGAACAGCAGTGTGATATTGCCACAAAGCGGAGCTGGTAGGGGTAATGCTTACAGGTGTGCTGGGGACTGGGAATGGGTGTGCCTGTGTTAATGACCGATGGGTTGAGTTACTGTCCAAGATCAATGTCAGGACAGGACAGTAGGGGGGTCTAGCAGGTGGAAGGCCGTGGACGTGGGATCCCACACAACTGTGTCCAGGATGGTGGTACTGACTGAGGCAATTTGTTTGGACTGCCCCGCAGCTATCTCCATGAAGCTCGACAGAAGGGAGTCTTTCTTTCTAAGTTCATCGGAGAGCCGCCTTATGTTCTCCTTAAGGTCAGTTATCTTTTTATTTGCTTTTTGAAGTAAGATGTAGTCCTCAGAGTTCACAGATGGCATGGTTTGTGTGTGTATTTCTCAGATTTTTATTTCTCAGACCAAAATATGGAGCGTGGACTGGTGGCTGGACAGCTGCCAGTTCACCTCCTGGGTACTGCCGAGGTGCCCCTGAGCAAGGCACCGAACCCCCCCAACCGCTCAGAGCACCTGTCATGGGCAGCCCACTCTGACATCTCTCCACTTAGTGCACGTATAGGTCCAGTTTGTGCATGTGTGTGTTCGGACCTGTGTGTAATTGACAACAGAGTGAAAAACTGAATTTCCCCTCGGGGATTAATAAAGTATATAAAATTTAAAAAAAAAATTAAATTAAAAAAATAATTAAAAGCCAGGCGCCCAGTAAACAAAATCCTTAGCAAATTAAAAGATACTGTTCAAAAACGTCCAATATCTGCAGGAAGTTTCTTGAAAGAAGGATTAAAACTAGGTAAAAACAGTTTATGGAGGAGCTGTGTTGACACTGATCAGTTGATTGTCACTTCGGATGAGGAAATCATAGGGGTCTGAAAGAAAGAAACAAAACTTGGCAGAAATGGTGTTGGCAAAAACACATGTGCGTGACCTTGGTTACAAATAGTTTATTTTAGACAGTCCATTCAGTTTGGTAATTCGTTATGGTTATGTTAGACTGGTCTGAGTCACAATCATATTTTAGTCTAATGGGTTGTTAATTTATTTTTTCTCGATTTCACAGGTAAGAGAACAATCTCAAAGCTTAAATTTACAACATAATAAAATTCTCCTGGAGCACGGCACGAAAGGAAAGTGTCAAGGCACTTTTTTTTTCTTTCAAAAATACATAATTCAAAAACCTGTGAAATTACATAATTCCACATACTGCCCCTTTCATTTTGCCCCTGTGCACAATCATACCCCAAATGACTGATGATTCAAACTGCCACTTATATGAAATGTTGTCACATAAACATCAGTCCATAGTGGACACAGAGCCTATAGGCCTAATACATGAAACTAAATTATACGCAGGCTAACTGTACAACACATTTATGATTTTTTTAGCATTTTAATAAACAATATATACATTGACTGTCTGCAGCACTACTACAACTGGACAATAATAGTAAAATGAACACAGTCTTTTATATGCTTTTATTGCTGACATCAAATAAGAATAATTAACATAAAATAATGAAAATGATTTTTATTGTAGTGAATTTGGTTCCACTCCTTCAAACATGCGAAACAAAAACTTCAGTGACTCATGTTAGCTTGAAATCATTTATTTCAATAAAAGAATGAGAACACAAAGGTCCAATTTATTTTGTGAGTAGGATATGGCTCAGTTCCATTTTGGTCTCTCGGAGGATGAGGCAGGTTGGATTGTCATTTTAGTTTGAGATCCTCTTCACCAGCTGGAATCAAAGGCATCAGAGGCCAAGTGCACAGTCTCAAGTAGAGGCAAATTTGAGATTTAATGTCTAAAGAGGGAAAACTGAAATATGACAGCAGGGAGCCAGAGTTATTGTAACCTAAGTTTTCAAAGTACCCCTGGAGTAAAATTCTCCAAAATAACCCCCTTTCATACCCCACCTCTTTTCCAAAGACGAAACATCCTGGTTCTCTCACCTTGAGGTATTACTCAGTGTGTACTGCCTGGGTAAAGCGTCAGTACCTCAGTAAACAGCAAGTGTTCTCTGGATGTGCCCTTCATACAATATGATCATGGACTGTGTGTGGCTTCTGCTGGGCAGCAGCCAGCCTCCTGTCGACTCACCAGGTCATGTCCACGTTCACCTCCAACAGACACTGGGCCAGGTGGCCGTCACAGTCCATCTGGGTGAACCTAGAGAGACAGGAACAAGGAGATCTACTGTTGGTACTGACAGTGACACACACACACTTTTACATTGGGTAAAAACACACTAAATACTTTAGCTAAGGTATCAGGACGCAACAATCGAAACTGATCACATGCAGTGTGTTAGCTAAGACCTGGTTTACTACTTGTTGTCTGTGTGGACATACTATAGTCTCACACCATCAGATCTGTGAGGCTGCAGTAGACACAATGGTTCTTTAAGCTAAATTCTAACATCAGAATGCCAACATGCTCCATACCATGTTCACAACAGCATGGAAGAAAAATAACGTGGAAGATGGCAACAAGTGCAGCTGCAGCAACAGCCCAGCCTCGACTCGTCAAAAAGAAAATGATTTTTCCTGAGACCGGGGTATTTTGTTCAGTCTTTGCAATGGGAGCACCGTGTATTTATGCTCTGCTACAAACAGCAGCAGTGGGGTGAGGCACTTAGTGCTGCACATTTGGTGTTTTTCTCTGGTCGGCAAGAATGGAAAAATGTTCAACTTTGAGTAAAATGCTGCGCTTGTCACTGTCACTCTATACCCAGCTACATATTCAAAGGGGAGGAGGAGCAGGACAAATACCCTACCACCAACCGTCATATCTCACATGTACAGGTGCTGAACAGCAACAACAGTGGAGGAGAAATGTGTTAATATACAGCAGGCTATATATTAATTGGGCTTGGGCGGTATCACGGTATTACCCCCAAATTCCACCAGATGTGTGTTGGTTGCGTCTGCACTCTGGAACGGCAGTGGAATCGATACGTTTCAATTCTCAAGCCCTCCGCAACAGATACGCAGGACTTCTATTTTTGCTGGACTCTGGAGCACAATGCAGCAATTCAGCACAGAGCAGATCGTGTGGGACAGGAAGTCGTGCACAGAAACAAAATAAAACATCTGGTTAATTTTCAAAGTAAAATACCAGTGTTCATGGCAAATCATATTTCCCTACACTACACCTTGAAAATGTCATAATGGGTGGAGGCAGGCCTGAAGTCAATGGGTCATAGGTTTTCAGAAGTCATTTCACCCCATTGACACCATGGACAAGGAGATGTTAATCATGGAGGTGCACCGAGATGTCTTCCTACTACTCCTCTGGTTTTGTGGTTCTGTTTATAGAAACTACATAACCAGCGCAGCCGTTCCGCAATGGACACGCATCCAGTGGAATTCCGGCGTTACGGTATACCAGGGTATTCAGAAATCCCAACAGTATAATTTTCAATACCGTCAACAATACAGGCGCTCCTCTCTCTCTATTAAACTCATTGTAAATAGTGGCAGCACACACCACCAGAGGTCAGTTTCCAGTCTCTACTGGTGGAACAGGCATCTGAGCTAAAGGACATCATGACAGAGTGGTGGAGAAATAATGCCCAGGGCACACTGGCTACATGTGCATCGCATGTCAGAGTCCTGCATGGGTCCATTTTTGAAAACCTGCACCTGCCCATACCCGTAAAGCTCAGCACCGAACCGACAGGGACAGAAACTCAACCCAAGTTACTCACTAGAGGTCAACTGATTTATTAGTGTGGCATATAGCCTATTACTTTATAGACACAAGACCCATTTTGGATTTAAAGCAAATTTATGGTTGAAATGGTTGAATATATTTTGATTAAGATCTAACTAAAATATTATTTTGGGAATAATATATTTTGTGTATTATTGTAGTCTAAAGAGCATTTCATGATATATTTCTAGGCTATGTAATTCTAAGAGTGCCTAGACCTAGGCCATTTCATTTCATTTTTGACATTTGCGAAGCTCTCTAAATGCCTTTTGACATAGCTGTGGAAATTGATCGCAAAGTCACTTTTATGCTATAGATATTTTTCTCAGCCAGTTATATTCTCTTCTCACCTGTGAAGACCCTGCATGATCATCCTTGCTGGTCTCTGGTCCACTTTCTCCTCCCTGACCCTGCTCTTTCTATTGTGGCAATAAAGATTTAAAAAATATGTGGAAAGCAAAATTTTTAAATAGAATTAGGAATAGTAGTAGTGAAATTGCTGTGGAAATTAACATCAGAGTCACTTTTATGCTATAGATATTTTTTTTCCTCAGCCAGTTATAATTTCTCCTCACCTATGAGAACCCTGCATGATCATCCTTGCTGGCCTCTGGTCCACTGTCTCCTCCCTGACCCTGCTCTTTCTATTGTGGCAATAACAATTAAAAAATATGTGCAAAGCAATAGTGAGCACAAGTTCAGTTAAATTAAGGAGGAGTGGGTTTATTCCTAGCATGAAACTAGCTAGCAATCGATTTAACATAAGTAACAATAACATTAGTATTCTTGTTAACTAGCTGTACTTGATATATTGGCATCTATGAATAATTAGTCATCATTTAGCTAACATTATCTACATGCAACAGCATTACTCAACTTACACGGTTTGTTTGGAACAAACTGTGCAAGGATTTTTGCTTCTTGCTGGCTGGTTTGCTGAACATATCTAACACACAACAGCACTGCCCAGCAGCACGTCTCGTCTGTGCGATTGATTCAGATCACAACATGACATCAAAGAGTAGTTTTCCACAGAAACATTTGGCTGCACTTCATTTCACTCAACTGGTACGCCAGTCAGGCGGAGTCTGCCCCTCTCCTCTCCCCTCTCTGAAGTCTGGCTGCAAACTTCAACTCCGCCCACCCGGTGCGCCGACTCTACTTCGACGCTACTTAGCTCTCTCTCTCTATTCTACCGGTAGACTACCACATCCACCCGTTACACAAAACGCCCACGGTATGCTGTTTTCTTTCAGTGTCCGATAGCTGGTGGTCAAGCTAACACAAGCTTGACAAGCACTAGACTTCCAAACAAGGTGGGCGTATATGGGGGGGAGACGACCACACCCATTTAGAAGATCGAAAGTGAATACCGTTTCATATTATTGCTGCAGCTTGTAATTAGTTATCTTCTGTTAGGTATCAAACATACAAAATTACTCCTACCATAAATCTTTTTTCAAATTATATTTGAGTCAGCCCAGGGTGCTCAAAGCCTGTGCCCCCCAGCTATGTGGAGTACTTCAGCATGTCTTCAACATGAGCCTGAGTCTCCAGAGGGTCCCCTTGCTGTGGAAGACATCCTGCCTTGTTCCTGTGCCAAAGACGTCGCGTCCCAGTGGCTCCAAGGACTACAGACCTGTGGCATTGACCTCCCACATCATGAAGACCCTGAAGAGACTCGTCTTGGAGCAGCTCCGGCCCATGGTCAAGCCACTTTTGGACCCCCTCCAGTTCGCCTATCAGCCCCGACTTGGAGTTGAGGACGCCATCATCTACCTGCTCAACCGCGTCTACGCCCATTTGGATAAGCCGGCGAGCACTGTGAGGGTCATGTTTTTTGACTTCTCTAGTGCATTCAACACCATCCGTCCAGCTCTACTGGGTGACAAGCTGACAGCAATGCAGGTGGATGCCCCCCTGGTGTCCTGGATTGTAGACTACTTGACTGGCAGACCACAGTATGTGCGCTTGCAACGCTGTGTGTCAGACAGAGTGGTCAGCAATACCGGGGCCCCGCAGGGGACTGTCCTCTCTCCCTTCCTCTTCACCCTCTACACCACGGACTTCAGCTATTGCACTGAGACCTGCCATCTTCAGAAGTTTTCTGATGACTCTGCTATAGTTGGATGTATCACCAAGGGTGATGAGGATGAGTACAGGGCTGTTGTGGATAACTTTGTCACATGGTGTGAGCAGAACCATCTGCAGCTCAACGTGGCAAAGACAAAGGAACTGGCTGTGGATCTGAGGAGGACCAAGACATCGGTGACCCCTGTTTCCATCCAAGGGGTCAGTGTGGACATTGTAGAGGACTATAAGTACCTGGGGGTACACATTGACAGTAAACTGGACTGGGTTAAGAACACTAACGCTCTCTACAGGAAGGGCCAGAGCCGTCTCTATTTTCTGAGGCGACTGAGGTCCTTCAACATCTGCCGGACTATGCTGAGGATTTTCTATGAGTCTGTGGTGGCCAGTGCTATCCTCTATGCTGTTGTGTGCTGGGGCAGCAGGCTGAGGGTGGCGGACGCCAACAGACTTAACAAACTGATCCGCAAGGCCAGTGACGTTGTGGGAACGGAGTGTGACTCTCTGATGGTGGTGTCAGAGAGGAGGATGCTGTCTAAGCTACGAACTGTCTTGGACAATGTCTCACACCCACTCCACCATGTGCTGGTCAGGCACAAGAGTACTTTCAGTGGGAGACTCATACCACCAAGATGTACCACTGAGCGCCACAGGAAATCATTCCTGCCTGTGGCCATCAAACTGTACAACTCCTCCCTCTGAGTGGCCCTGAGACTTTCACACACTGCAATAACTTAATTTAACTTGTGCAATAACCCCGTTCACCCTGACTGTATATATTCTGTTTGTGTAAATTTTGTTTACAATATATATATATATATGTACAGTACAGGCCAAAAGTTTGGACACACCTTCTCATTCAATGCGTTTTCTTTATTTTCATGACTATTTACGTTGTAGATTCTCACTGAAGGCATCAGAACTATGAATGAACACATGTGGAGTTATGTACTTAACAAAAAAAGGTGAAATAACTGAAAACATGTTTTATATTCTAGTTTCTTCAAAATAGCCACCCTTTGCTCTGATTACTGCTTTGCACACTCTTGGCATTCTCTCCATGAGCTTCAAGAGGTAGTCACCTGAAATGGTTTTCCAACAGTCTTGAAGGAGTTCCCAGAGGTGTTTAGCACTTGTTGGCCCCTTTGCCTTCACTCTGCGGTCCAGCTCACCCCAAACCATCTCGATTGGGTTCAGGTCCGGTGACTGTGGAGGCCAGGTCATCTGCCGCAGCACTCCATCACTCTCCTTCTTGGTCAAATAGCCCTTACACAGCCTGGAGGTGTGTTTGGGGTCATTGTCCTGTTGAAAAATAAATGATCGTCCAACTAAACGCAAACCGGATGGGATGGCATGTCGCTGCAGGATGCTGTGGTAGCCATGCTGGTTCAGTGTGCCTTCAATTTTGAATAAATCCCCAACAGTGTCACCAGCAAAACACCCCCACACCATCACACCTCCTCCTCCATGCTTCACAGTGGGAACCAGGCATGTGGAATCCATCCGTTCACCTTTTCTGCGTCTCACAAAGACACGGCGGTTGGAACCAAAGATCTCAAATTTGGACTCATCAGACCAAAGCACAGATTTCCACTGGTCTAATGTCCATTCCTTGTGTTTCTTGGCCCAAACAAATCTCTTCTGCTTGTTGCCTCTCCTTAGCAGTGGTTTCCTAGCAGCTATTTGACCATGAAGGCCTGATTGGCGCAGTCTCCTCTTAACAGTTGTTCTAGAGATGGGTCTGCTGCTAGAACTCTGTGTGGCATTCATCTGGTCTCTGATCTGAGCTGCTGTTAACTTGCGATTTCTGAGGCTGGTGACTCGGATGAACTTATCCTCAGAAGCAGAGGTGACTCTTGGTCTTCCTTTCCTGGGTCGGTCCTCATGTGTGCCAGTTTCGTTGTAGCGCTTGATGGTTTTTGCGACTCCACTTGGGGACACATTTAAAGTTTTTGCAATTTTCCGGACTGACTGACCTTCATTTCTTAAAGTAATGATGGCCACTCGTTTTTCTTTAGTTAGCTGATTGGTTCTTGCCATAATATGAATTTTAACAGTTGTCCAATAGGGCTGTCGGCTGTGTATTAACCTGACTTCTGCACAACACAACTGATGGTCCCAACCCCATTGATAAAGCAAGAAATTCCACTAATTAACCCTGATAAGGCACACCTGTGAAGTGGAAACCATTTCAGGTGACTACCTCTTGAAGCTCATGGAGAGAATGCCAAGAGTGTGCAAAGCAGTAATCAGAGCAAAGGGTGGCTATTTTGAAGAAACTAGAATATAAAACATGTTTTCAGTTATTTCACCTTTTTTTGTTAAGTACATAACTCCACATGTGTTCATTCATAGTTTTGATGCCTTCAGTGAGAATCTACAATGTAAATAGTCATGAAAATAAAGAAAACGCATTGAATGAGAAGGTGTGTCCAAACTTTTGGCCTGTACTGTATATATATATATTTATTTACGTTTATGTTTGTTAATAATTCCTGTTTATTTAACTATATATTTGTTAATATTATTGTTTAAATTTCTTATATTTTCACATATCTTTCCTCTCTTGCAAGGAGCACCTGTAACATAAATAATTTCCCCTCGGGGATCAATAAAGTATTTCTGATTCTGGAGTTCCTGCCAGTTATAAAATACTCAAAAGTAATTGAAATAGATATCGCAAATAAAAGTAACAAAAATACTGCCCTTCTGATCACTGTTTTGTGTTGAGGCTCTAGGGGTGGGAATCACCAGAGGATCCACGATATGATATTATCCGGATATTTACATCATGATACAATATTATCATGATTTTAAATATGTTGCAATATGCTGAGTATTGCGATAAAATACATTGCAATATATTGCAATTTATTACCCTTTTCAACTGTAAATTATGTCCCCAAAGAGAAACTGTTTTTCAGTATGTTCATCTCACTTCAGCCATTTTTTTTGCAGCAGCAAAATGTATTTAGTGGACTGAAAACGCAACTGATTATATTATTCTAGTAGGCGAACCTAAAGTTTAATCTGTATTTGTAATGGTAATAATTTGTATATTTAAAAAATCGATACTTGACACTGTGTGACGATATGATATTGCCACACAAAAATATCACTATATTATGCTTTATTGATTTTTTTTTCTCCACTCCTATGAAACTATGCACAAAGTCAAATTGATGTCACTGTGGAGAATCTCAGGTTAACTTTGAGGAAAAACAAATCACTCCCACCTAGATTTTTTATGCTTATTTTGTTTATCAGATTTATTAATGAATTACATGACTAAGATATTCAGTTAATTTTCAACACTGTCAAGCAAAAAATTCTTGGGGGGGATAGATATCGGTTGAGCAATCTGCTTTTTCCTGTTTTAAACTACCTTTATATTGATTTCTAGAACTCGCCTCTCCAGAAATAAGAAATTAGGATCCAAAATAGAAGAAATGAAAGAGACAGAATCCCTATGTCAGTCTTGTTTAAGCAAAAACAAAAAAGCAAACAAGAAAATAAAGTGTGTTGCATCTCTTACCCAACAGGGAACACCATCAGGCACATGGGGCAGCTCTGCAACCCTCCCCATCCTGCTGCTCCTCCATCTCCTCTGACACTTCTCTGCACCTCCTCTTCCTTTTTCTTTTCACTCTCCCTCTGCTGAGAAACTCGGCTGTCAGAGACCTTCATCTGGTTTGGGAGAAACAGTTTGTTGTCAGGTCCAGTCTCTTCTTCTTGCTCTCCTCCTTTCCTCACCTCATTTTCCTTAACTTTTGAGGGTCCGGCTGCTGCTGATGGCCTCTCCCAGCTGTGGAGAGGCAGCCTTGGTCTTTTGGGGAGGGCTTGGAGGGATGTTTTCTTGTCATTATGACTTTGTCTGCTGTGACAGGACAGCCGTCTTTCAGGTGGGTCTGTTCCAGGTTTGGTGTGCACGGAGATCTCCTGCTGGGAGAAGCTAAGTTCTGGAGAAGGTGGGGAGGGTTCAGGGAAGGGAGCAACCTCTTCACTGAAGTCACACCACTGCTGGTCATCTAACTTTAGTGCTGTGGCTCTCTGAAGTGACACAGAAAGAAAAACAGATGTAAGACTCAACGCCAGCAGCATTTGAATTGAAGGGAGAGTCTTTTTTACAACTTAGGATGGATGACTAAAGTTGTAAAAGTGAGAATAGCAACCTTTACACAATCACCTTTTTTATCAAAGCTGCTCTGTTGATGCGTGGTGAAGTGGTATTTAGTGAAGACTGTTTTGCTCACTGGTGGTGCGTACATGGATGCTGTCACATCCAAAATTGTTGAGAGTGGGCTGGTGGTTAGCACTACAATCACAAGCTTTGTTATCACAAACAAAATGCATTAGTCAATAATAAGGCGTTGAAGGGGGTCACCATCTAAATTAAGAATTCCAGTATGGTATTTCCATGGTCTAAAAAGTTAAATCTATACCTGTGAACATGAGCTTTTCTCTCTCCAAGCCAGAAACCAGAGAGGTAAGTGTCAAACTGGTGATGTCATCAAGTATAAAGTCTGGAGCTGCTCCATAGACAATAAATGGGACCATGATTTTGTGGATCCACCTGATATTAGTTTGCTTTTTTAAACCCAAATGAGCTTTATTCTGTTGTAGTGTTCTCAGCTGTGACACAGAAAATACACCCATATAAAGTAGGGGTGTAACGATCAGTGATCAACGATTCAATATCGTTGTTGCAAAGTGAAAACATCGATCCATATCACCATCTTTAGGATACGCTTTCATTTTGAAAGTCTGTGTCACCGTCAAACAGCAGCAGTCAGACAGCAAGCAGTCAAGAGAAGGACGATGAGGATAATGTTATTTACTTGGGAATAAATCACCGGTGCGGAAATATTTTGGATAATGAGAAAATACTAATCAACTGACAAAGCACATGACGTATGTAAACAATGCTGTTGAGATAAAGCATAATGTATCTCCCTGAACGGGCATCTCATTCCGCTAATTTCTTGCTACAACAAAACATCAGCTGCTCTGTCTCAACAATTTTCGACTGACATGCAGACACTTAAACCAACAGTGAGTAAGACAAAGTATAAATAATACAAGTAATTTGTTAAATGTCATCGATATCAGCCGATATTGGCTTTAAAGTGAACTATGGGAATTGGCCAACATGCTTTTTCTCTGATTTTGCACAATGAATGAAAATTACATACATTGAAAAGCATTGTATTTCATGTCTCCATCTGCTGGTGGGCCATCACGATAAGAGTAACCATGTATAATATGATGTTTATTCCCCTACAAAACAGACTTGATGATCACTAAAATTAGGTGGGGAAAACATGGATATATCGATATCGGCTATCAGCCAAATGAGTTGTTAAGATATTGGAAATTGGCAAAAAATCCAATATCGTGCATAAGTAGAGGAAATCTCTGCTAGCCAATAGGCTAATTTATGGAATGTAAAGTGATTAAGTTTGCTTTCAAGTTTTAGGAAGAATCTCATGGTTTGCCAGACCTTTCTGGTCTCTCTGGCAGAAAGCCCCATAGCTTAACTTATCCCATGTGCTGTTTTCTGTGTGTTAGTGGAGTCAATTTAACAAACTTTTCTGCACTTAAGCGGTTACAATTATTTAAATTATTTATGTGTTGTTTTTATTTTTTATGGCCAAAAACAAAAAAGAAAGGGGTTGCAGCTTCTGCTGTAACAGTTTGTGTTAAATATGTTATCATCTCAAATCAATTGCTAGCCCCTAAATTGCATCAAACTGAAATCAAATCATGGCAGACTTTGTAATATCAGCAAATATTGTGTCGTTCTTTTACGAATCAATGTAGTATTGAGATGTAACCGGTAATGCACACCCCTAATATAGAGCGTTTCACCAGAATTTGCATTGCTAGACAATAGCTTGGGTCAATGTTTATTTCCTGTCAGCTAATGTCCTTCACATAGACCCAATCACTGTGATGCTGTGCTCCAGGTACACAACTGGCAATTGATTTGAATTGCAGAAACATGTGAAATCAACAAACCTGTTTATTTCTGTTGTCATCTTCAGCTGTAACTGTAACGTTTAAAATATGCAGTTGAACATGGTGGTGCAACCTATCTAACGTTTCTGCTGTGCTTATTTTGTGTACTTTGTTGCTTTAATAGCATCTTCAGAAAACACATCTAATGGCACAGAAACTTAACAGTGTACTGCTGTGGACAGGGCCGTTGCAAATCAGTTTAGGCAGGTTTTGCTCAGTGCCACTTCATTGTATATACATTGCTCAGAAAAATTAAGGGAACAATTAATGTCACAGTATAACACCAAGTCAGTTAAAGTTTAGGGATATCAATCTGTCCATTTGGGAAGCACAGGTGATTGTAAATGAGTATCACCTGCTTTGGTGCAAATCAAAGTGACAACAGGTACAATGGAGAGGCAAAAACAAGACAACCCCCAAAAAGGGAATGGTTTTACATGTGGTTACCACATAATATGGTGGCAACATCGTCTCTTCTTATCCTTCCTAACTGATTCTTCTCTAGTTCTGAGTTCTGCTAGTGTCCTCGTCACCACTGATAGCATTTGGTGGTGCCAGCAGCCCAATCAGGTTGCACAGGTAGAAGGACTGCCCCCATAGTCGACCAAACGTTAGTTGACCAGAAAGGTCAGTAGTCTGCAAGATTTCATTTCATTTAGTCACAGAAAAAAACAAACATTTAACTCTATTAGGAGCTGTGCCTTGTCAAAATAAATCAAAACCTATATGATTGGACCATAATTTAATTTAAAAGAACAGACACAGAGAGTGCCCAAGCTCAGCAGTCAGATGGGAGTCATGTTAATTTACAGGGCTGGTACCTGCGGTTATTACAAAGGCTAGTTCATAACATGTCGGGCAAATATAGGCCTATGAAGGTTTATTAGTACAGTTTTGTATTTCTCTGTAATGTAGCACAGTGTTAACAATGTTACTGATACTATTCTTTCTCAGACCTTGAACTCAAACCATTGTGTTGCACCGCCAAAAAAATATATCATTTAATAATTAAATTAATATCATAAACATGCGGGCAACTGATCGACTAATGGCCTTAAGTGACGATTATTGGTCGACTAGGAAAATTCTTAGTCAGGGGCTGACCTCACAGGTAGCCCAACTCCTCCAGGATGGCACATCCATACATGCAGTTGCAAAAAGGTTTGCCATGTCTCCCAGCACAGTCTCAAGAGCACGGAGGAGATACCAGGAGACTGGCTGATACACGAGGGGAGCTGGACAGGGCCGTAGAAGGACATCAACCCACCAGCAGGACCAGTATCTGCTCCTCTGTGCAAGGAGGAGCAGGAAGAGCACTGCCAGAGACCGACCTCCTGCGACCTCCTCCTGGCTACTGGTGTGCATGTTTCTGACCAAACTGTCAGAAACAGACTCCATGAGGGTGGCATGATGAGCCCGATGTCCTCTAGTGTGACCTGTGCTCACAGCCCAGCACCAAGCAGCACAATTGACTAATGGCTAAGCCCCGCCCTCAAATGCGATGAGCCAATCACAGTGCTTATAGCCATTCCAATACACTCGGAAATTCTCTGCCTGGACGTCCATTGAAATGCATTACAAAAAGTCGGTTTCGTTTGGTTTTATGAGCTTTTTCTGAGATGTGAAGTTTAAAAATGGTCAAACGGTGTGTATGGGGTACACACAACTCCGACACAAGGTATCCTGAGAGGCTGGGCAACGGGTTGTATTTTTTACCTTTTCCTAAACCACATCTCAACCGAGAAATGTGTCTCCTTTGGATAAAGTTGTGCAGTAGACCACAACATCAACTCAACGTGAATAAGATTAACAATGATGTCTACATTTGTTTTAAGGTAAGTCAACATTGTGTTTGAGGCAACATATTGTCACTTTGCTGGAAAGAAACATAAAGTTATCTTTAACATCTCTAGCTAACGTTAGGTAAAGTTTCCCCTAACGTTAGCTCCTAGCTGCGTTGTTCATCATGTCACCTTGTTTGCTAGGAGTTCATTAGCCTATTTTGTTCTAGTTTTTGTACTTTGGCGATCATACATCATTGTTAGCTGTTGTCCAAAGGGCTCTAGTTAAACTAACATTAACTTCTGGAGCTTAGCTTCATTAACTTACCCATAATCACAGAGATAACAAAGGTTGGCAAACATTATGCTGAATGATTCAGTGTAAATACTGTTGCACCAAACTAACAAGAGACATTCTTGGTAAAGATGGTAAAAAGGCCGTTATCCTTTTCTCATATTCTGTGCCAAAAACCTTAACTTCAGTGGAACAATGCTGATCCTCTATCTTGTTGTCTTTGATGGCGACGGCAACGAGATGCGGTTTATCATGCTTACACTGGGACCTGTAAATTTTGGCTTGTAATTTAAGCTTTTCATCGACCTTCTCAACAATATAATAATTAATATATCCCTCCAATGCGTAGTTCAGGCCCTTTTGGTTACTTCTCAATGACATCTGATCGTTATGTCTCCAAAACTCATCAACTGCCTCCTGCGAAATGCCATGTACTGTGACACTTGCCATAGTGCCGGTCACTGAATGTTGATATTTTGTCCAAGTGAGTGGAGGGTGGCGTGGCTTAAGCTGCGTTCACACCAAACGCGAATTCACAAATTCGTGCGTCAAGATTACATACAAAGTCAATGCAAAGACGCGTCCAACGCCTCATCGCTCGAGTTGAAAATATTGAACTTTTGAGGCGAACTCACGTGACGCTGTGCCGCGAAAGCCAATCAGCGTTGAGATTCTCCCGACGTCACTGACGTTGTTGACACAACAATAAACTGCTACTCACCGGAGACAGATGTACAGACGCTCCGCAGCTGAAATGGAGCGCCTGTAGTTGGTGTCCTGCCGGGAGATCCTGGCTCCAACCCTCGCCAACAGGTCCTCAAACTGGGCCCCAGTCAGCCTGAAGTACTGCTGAAAGTTGCTATCATCCAGACGGAGTTCCTGGAGGAGGTGGTGAAACTCGCCGTGCTGGATGCGCTTCTGCAGGATAGGGTGAACCCAAAAACGACGGCGTTTGGCCCTCCGACGCATCTGGGACTTCCAGTGCAGGTACAAAGCAGCGATGGTGGTTATCTCAGCCATGGTCCTCAGTGACGTCTTGACGCCCTGACGTCCAGTTGTTGATGCCGAGATGGAGGAGAAACATTGCGGTGTGCAGCTACCCGGAGCTATATGATACTACGTGTCTACTCAACAGAGACCGCAACAAAAGGGAGCAGGCTTGGGTGAAAGTCGCCGAGGAGACTGGTCTACTTGGTAATATGGAAATATGTGTCTTTAATTAGTTTGCAGAATGGTTGTTCTATGAACGTTAGCACTGGCTTAGCTCCAGTTAGCACAGCCGGCTTCCCCACTACTCGCGCGAATGACGCGATAACGCAAATTAACAAAATGGTCCAGCATCCATACACGCGAGTAATTCACTTCACTCGCGCCCAGTGTGAACACAGCTTTAGACATAGGTCAATTGGTATTTGCCAGAGAATTGGCAGGCCTGCCATAGGTGCCTCGTTCTCTTCACAGATGAGAGCAGGTTCACACAGAGTGCATGTGACAGGCGTGAAAGAGTCTGGAGACATCGTGGTGAACATTATGCTGCCTGTAACATCATCCAGCCTGACCGGTTTGGCGGTGGGTCAGTGATGGTCTGGGGAGGCATATCCTTGGAGGGTCGCATACAGCTCCATGTCGTAGCCAACAGTACCCTGACTGCTGTGAGGATAATATCCTTAGAGCGATTGTCAGACCTTCCACTGGTGCAGTGGGCCATGGGTTCCTCCTGGTGCAGGACACTGCCCAGCCTCAGTGTGTAGGCAGTTCCTGGATGACGAAGGCATTGATGTTATTGACTGGCCCTCTCGTTCCCCTGACCTTAATCCAATTAAGCACCTATGGGACATTATGTGTCAGTGCATCTGATGCTGCCAAGGTCCACCCAGATTGTCCAGGAGCTCAGTGATGCCCTGATCCAGGTCTGGGAGGAGATCCTTCAGGACACCATCTGCCGACTCATCAGAAGCATGCGCAGACGTTGTCAGGAAACAATACATGCATGTGGGGGCCATACACACTACTGAGTAACATTATGAGTTGCTGGTATAAAATTCACTCAGTTGGATCAGCCTGTGATTTTAATTTTTTTATCTTGGTTTTTGGTGTGATTTTGAATCCAGCCCTCAGTGGGTTGATGATTTTGGTTTCCACTGACTGTTGTTACGTAATTTCTTTCTCAAAAAATTATACAATGTACATCAGTAAAGATTTTCAACTTGAATAATTTTATATATATATTATATTGGATAACATCACAAATTTGAGTGTTGGCCCCCTAGTTTTTTGGATGTGGGAGAGAGTTGATCATGTTCACTTATATTTTTGGATTGTCTCAGACCATAGGAATAACATGTATGAATTTTTAAAAGGGTGTAGCGCTTTTTAATACTGTGAAAATGATCATGCAAGTTTTTGGTCTTTGAAAGCAGCAGCTGCAGCACAAGTAATGTAACTCTGACAAAAAATAAATGTGACTACTACAAACTCTGTACAGGTTGTATTTGTATGACATTTTTTCTTTTGCTATAAAGCTACAGTCAATGGAATGCAATACTTGCACTGCTGATTTTTTTATCATAAAACATTCTTTTACATGACTATGAAATGTACCTTACACTGAATTATAAAATACATGGGTGAACATGGAAGGAGTTTTGAATCTGTGAAGGAAACTAGGAATAAATGCCTGTCAAAATAAAATTTTGGTTCTCCCTGCAGCTGATGTAAGTGCTTTGTATTGGAAAATTTGGAACAAGAATACAGACTTGTACAGTTGTACAGTGTTTTTCACATTATCTATAAGATGCACAATAATGGAATAAGAGGGATGTAGGGGTGTTATGGTTTCCAGAATTCATGGTTTGGTTCAATACGCCACAGTGGTGTCATGGCAAGGTGCGTACATGATCGCTGCAGCGGGAATATCGATCTGGTCACCGAGATTTTAAATGTTTTATCTTTTAATTTTGTGTTATTTTAATTCAGTCATTTATCTATTTAAACTAACATCATTAAGTATGAGGGCCTCGTTGCTACTGCCATTAGAGCACATTGTATCAATGTCGTTTCTTTCAACCACTGTGCATCAGCAGTGAGTCTGCCACGTCCCATGAGCTCCCTGGGCTCTTTTGGTCTTATAAATACATGAATAAACATCTCTGTTAAATTCCACAGTCAGTAACGTACCTTTTGATCTTCCTGGACGAATTGGCTACTCTGCCCACCAGCAGTTACTGCTCACTGCTGTGAGTGAGTGCTTTCTGAAGCTGCTGAACAAGAGGCTGCCGCCACACAGTGGCTATCGTTCCCTGGTTTGGAGGGTGTGTGTGTGTGCTGGGCAACCATAATCTTTGTGTGCTACTTGCTTGGCTACTAAGGAGAGTCTGTGGCTGTGTGTGTTGTTTGCTCTTTGGCTTGGTGTGTTTTTTATCCACCTCTCTCTCTTGCCATTGTCCTCATAATTCACAAAAAAACAAAGTGGTTCCAAACACCAGACCTGCTGGTTATCAAAGGATTTTCTGTTTTATGGTCTGGTGATGGTGTTATACCCATCGTACAACAAGCTAGCTTAGCGTAGCTGCCTCCCAGTGTGTCTCACTGCAGTAGAATGTTCTGGTTTGGGGGTGGGAGGGGCAGACAGCATGTTGCCTGTTCTGTTCTGTAGGCTGCCTTGTTGAGCAGGGAGGCACTGAGAACATTATATTAAACACAGTTAAAGCCGTAGATGTATTTTTCAAATAACAAAGGATAGTTCAACATATTGTTTGGTTTAAAATGTGCACTGAACCAAAAGTCTCGTACCAAACAGTTCAATATGAATATGTGTTTGTTTGACCCCACTTCCTCAAGAAATTATTGTCACATGCATTACATCACACAGATTTCTCCCTGTGAGAGACTGATTGATAGTAAAAATAACTGTTACTGTAATCTACACCACAATGACACACATAACTACAGTCTTTGAAAAAAAAAAACACAGTAAGAACTTTTGAATTTTGTGTGAGTCTCTAATGTCATGCACTTCATCAGATTCACTACAGGAAATGTGTAATGGGGTCCGCTCCATAGTAATATACCTCTGTAAATGGATGTGGAAGATCAGGAACCAGGTCCCAGTGCTGACTCTTCAGATAAGGCAGACCAGACTTCAATGTCAAAGCCCACAGACTCTCCACAGCAGGCAGCTGCTCACTGTTCCACCACACCGCTGCAGGGACCACTGACCTGGAAACCACATGTTACATACTGAGTTTCATACAACTACCACTGTTCAGTTTGTGTTTTCTTCTGTAATGAAACCCCTGCCTTATCTTTACAAACGTCCATCCAGCTAGTCTCCACATGTATTAAACCTAGATGTAATCTACCCACCAGGGGAGAGCACGATATGAGGTTTTTTTTTCCTTTTTCAAAATTATTTGGTATGCATTTTTAATCTATCAATGAAATTATTTATGAAACTGCTCTTTGATCTGGCGCACAGTGTCTGCTTGTGTAAATAACAAAGTAAGAGAGAGAAAAATGTAGATCCACACTGTGTATATCAAATAAGTAAAGACCAAAATGGTCTTGCTTTTTTTTTCCAATCAAATGCATGAAATTACGTGATATGCAAGCACATAATGACCACTTTATCTGTGTAGCCTAATAAATTTATTGTATGGCTCCACATCTGACTATTTTCCAGCACCATCTATCAGTGTACTCGCTTTTGGAAGGAAATTCTTCTCAAAGCTGCAAGGATTGGATTAAAACTAATGATGTTCCATTTTTGTTGGCAAAGTTTCAAAGACGAGTTGATTAAATTCTGGAGATGCCCATCGGTATCAGACGATATTGGCTTTAAAATGAACTATCTGAAATGGCCAACATGGTGATAATATCGGTACATCATCATGTCAGCCAATATCTGCTTTAAAATGAACTACTAGAATCGGCCAACATTCTTAATTTGTACAATGAATGAATATTACAAACATTGAAAAGTATTGTATTTCATGTTGTGTTGTATGTCGTGAAATGACTTGAAGTGGAGGTAAAGATGACTCACCTAATTTAGAGAATAAACAGAAACTGAGGATCTGTTTGCAACCTGTGTATTGGTCTCTTCCTTTTGCCGCTCTACTTGATTCCATACAAGCGATGCAATAATGCTGACGTAAAAGCTGTTGAATGACCAAACAAAAAAGTCCTCTAGCTTTACCAGATGCTTTAAACTCAGGGCTCTAGACTAACTTTTTTCCTTGGTTGCACTGGTGCGCCCAACTCTTTTTTGGGGTGCACCAGCCCAAAAGTTAGGTGCACCCAAATTTTCCATTTAGTCACCTTTAACGCAACAGTTTTAAAGGCGGTCTTTAATATCATTTTCCACAAAGGGCTCTAGAATGCGAATAATTTGGTAAATGATTGGAAACAAGAGTAACATGTAGATACATTATTGTCTTTATTTGGGGCACAAATGAATAAAAAAGAGGAATCAGTTTTCTTTCTTTTTTTTAAAAAAAAAAAAGACACACTGATCTCCAAGAGCAGCAAAGGCTATTTTTGTGGCATCATAAATTCCTGATTAAACACAGAAAAGGTTTAGGCTATGTATTGCATAGTCAATATATATATTTTATATATATAGCCACTTTATTTACTTTACTTTACACTTTATTTGTCATGACATAGTATGTGCTTTCAATTCGAAATGTTCTCGAGCCGCTGACAAATAAACTACTGCCAGCCATGCGTTCGCCGCACTCTTTACAGTAAGTGTAGTGCATTATGTTGTCTGCCTTGTCATATCAAAGCCAGGGGAACTGGTTCAACCAGGCTTTTCTGAAGGCATATACTTTTGCCTTTTTTGTTTGGTGTGACTCGGGCTCGGTAGACTCCTGCTCTGTGTCGGAGGACATCTTCAACGAGGGACCAGGGCTCAACCCCTTACCAGGAACTGAGGAAACTGGCTCCGTGTCTGAGGAGCATGGGCAGGGGTTGTTTGGTGACACTGTTGTCCTAGAAAAAAACGTAATTGTTTGCTTAACGTAACTGTATCAATTCTTTAGACAACAACATGATATTTGCCGATATTACAAAATCTGCCACGATACAACTTCGATTCAATTCAATTCAGGGGCCCACGATCAATATGTGCCAGTATCATATGCCCATTAAATACATTCTGTTTCAGAAGAAGCTGCCAACACTTTCTTTTTTTTGCTTTTGGCCATAAAAGATCTAAACAAAACATAAATAAAGTAAATATTTTTAACCCAAACCATCATCATTTTTCTAAAACTTAGGGTTATCTGGCTGAAAGCCCTGAAAGCGAACTTCTTCAAACAGCCACAGAACATTATTACCAGCAACATTTAGGGATGCACGATAATATCGGCACGTTATCGCTCTTGGCTGATATTAGCCTTAAAATGAACTATCAGAATCAGCCAACATTTTATTGCATATTGAATGAATATTAGAGACATTGAAATGTATTGTATTTTATGTCTCCATCTGCTGGTGGGCCATCACAATAAGAGTATGCATGTATGTTAATTCCACTACAGAAGAGACTTGATGATCACTAAAATTAGGTGGGGAAAAACGTGGATATATCAATGTCCATTTATCAATATGGTTTTCGGTCAAATGAGTTGTTACATATCGGCATATCAGATATCGGCAAAAAATTCAATATCGTGCATCCCTATGAAATTCCATAAGTTAAGCTTTTATTTTCTCCATCTGGTTGTTTCCTTGATTTTTAGTTTTTTTGGTTTCATGGTGCAGTGACAGGCTCACCTGATTCTTGACCACTTTGGTCATCTGTAAATATGAAATGTATTGGTGTCCATTTTGAAGAAATGAAAAATCTTATTAGCTTAAAAACAATAATACAGATATTCGTTTGCTTTTTTCCCCTGGGTTTTTCTTTTCATCTTGTATTAGCAAATTCAGCTTTTCTTGTCAGAAGAGGACCTTTTGGGCTGTGGAAATAAAATCAGTTCAAAGTTTAGAAGTTTCTGCTCTGCCTTGCTTTGTATTTGAAGAGTTATTAGATCACGAACATGCCGAATTTTACAGTGACACCCACTTGTTTGTAAAATGCCTTCAGTTGTGTTCCGTCTCTTACACACATCAGATAAGAAGCCATGAGACTTTAAACTATTAAGGATTAAAGGAGGTTCGGACACGTCGTTTGGCGTTTTGCTTTCACCACAAGCAAAGGCTTCGTTACAGCCGCTAGATACAACGGGGAACCGCGTATGAAAAAAACGAAACAAGCTTAGGCCAGGTGTTATTAGGGATGATATCAACGTTTCATTACTTTATATCAACACCGAAGTAAACAGCACACCCACCTCCCGGTCTCTGCTGTCACCCTGATCTCAGTGGAGAACGATGCTATGTGATTCCTCTTCAGCGTTTCCCTGGAACACACTTCCGGCTCGGGGCCTTTGACAGACGATTTATTTCGCTTAAGTTTAGACTTGGAATATTTTTCAGCCATTTTATTAAACTACCTTTCACAATATCTTCAAAGTTTGGCGCTAGTGTGAGCAACAGGAACTTCTTTCTTCTTCTCTCGGTTTAACTCGTAGATAGCATACAGCTTGGAGGTGCATACCGCCACCTGCAGTACAGGAGACCGTCTCAGACGTCATTTCACCTTATCCCACCCACCAACCTGTGTCCTTTAACTATCTCAACCAGGTCCCAGTGACTTTATCATGCGATCTTTGTGTTCCTGCTTCATTCATGGTAGCCTAGTGTGCAATAAAGTATGTTCAACATTTTTTCTTTAACTTCACAGTTTCAGAGTCATGACAATTACTAAGTTAGGTCCCCCAAATTTAAAGAGAAAAATGACGCAGTATAAAACTGTCAATATTGTTTTCACTGGCTGAAGACACTGATTAAAGCATAGCCTACTTATTAGTATGAAGTTAAATCAAATTAAATAGGCCAATAGAATATCAATTTTTATATTTTTAACCATTAGACAGTTTTCTGTAGTGTTTTTCTCTGGAAAATTTATCCCATTCATATCAGGTAACACTTAATAAATATCACATACAGTATATCTCTGACTTTTTTGATTTTAGGAGCATAAATGCTTCCCTCTTCATGGAAAATGTATTATTAAAAACATATTTTGGTTAAAATAGATCAGTATATAAAATTGATCACAATTGTGGAGATATGTAAACTGTAGAAACATGCTGATTTCTGTTGTTATTTTCAGATGTAAATGTAATGTTTAAAGATAAATAGTTAAACATAGTGTTCCTACCTATCTGGCGTCTCTGTTGTGCTTATTTTATGTACTGTGTTGCTTTGCTATCATCTTTAATAAAACCAAATTGACCGACACAGAAAACAATCATTGTCAGTATAAGTGTACGCTATATTTGATCATTTGCTCTGCTTTGCCTTACACACTAACCGATAGGCGATGCAGTAGTCCAGCAACTCAGTGTTCTGCTAAGTTAAATGACTGTTTTTGTCCAATGGCTGTGAGATAACCGCTTTGATTCCTCATTGGAAAAGGCTGTCTGATGACAAGGTAAAGCAGTGAAAATACTTTAAATATAGTGTACACTTAAACTGATAAACAATTTTTTTTGGTGGGCTTTTTTAAATCAGTGTACATTGTGGATTAATGTACATTGTCCCTTTTCAGATAAACAAATAAACTAAAAAACTTAACTAAAATGCTGACTCATTTCCAGATTTTAGGACTCATTCATGCACCACTCTATGCTGTTGAGTTTAGATTTTCTTTCAGAACAAAAAACTAACAAACTGAGACAGTGTTTGCCCAGTGCCATTTGGTTTTATGTATGTGATGCGAGGCTTTTCTATTCAGAAGTTATTGTAAATAAACATTGTGATTTGGTCTATACAAATTTAAATAGAGTGCTGTGGGTTTGATGTTTAATTGTAGACCAACACACAAGTAAACATTTCCCTGGTTTTCTTTTTTTTTCTTTTTTTGGATTATTGCAGGAAATAAGCTCTGTAGCAAACAAACGTTTGTGATACTTTAATGTTTTGTTCAGCAAGATAATCTTCACAAATGAACACCACTATGATTATGACCACTACGCTAACTATGATTATTGAAGCATAAATGCAATTGCCAAAAGTAAAAAGCAAGCGTTAGGCTATAAACAAACGTCACCACTTTAATGTCACCTTCACATCGAGGCTGTAAAGATTTGTTTGGCATTATGACGTTCTGTAGTTTAATTTAGCCACTTGTTAGCACTTGTTAGCAAGTGTCCACTTGTTAGCAAGTGGCTAAATGAGACAAGACACAGAAAAAAGGCTTCAAATTTCATGAGTGGGGAGTTAACTGCCGTATTTTATGTTGTAGGACAAAATGTGATAGTCAAAAACCCACAGACTCTGAGATGAGGTAACCAGGAGTGCTAAAATGTCACTCAACAGTATGTGTGTGCCGTACAGAATGTTTATCTTGTATAATGTGTTATCTTTGATGGGTTATTTTTTATTTATATTAGATGTTGTATTTTATTGATGCCTTTAACAACTGGCAAAGGGACTTTGGGATTTTTTTAATCGTGGATTAATGTACATTGTGGATTAATGTACTTTGTCCCTTTTCAAATAAACAAATAAACTAAAAAACTAAACTAAAATGCTGACTCATTTCCAGATTTTAGGACTCATTCATGCACCACTCTATGCTGGTGAGTTTAGATTTTCTTTCAGAACATTTTTTGTATGTTTTTCAGGCATAACATATCCACCCTGTTGTGCAAAAAACACATGATTTTTATTAAATGAAATTTTCTAATGTATTTGTATAAAACAAGATTTTTACATTTAGCTGCATAAATGTAGTGTTAGCTTTGTTTAGAGAGAGAATTTCAGCCATATTACTTTGAATCTTTCACTGTCACATTCTTCCCTGTCACAGATATTTGAATATTATGGAAAAAAATAGTAATAATAAATCAGTGTCCGAGTTTGCAAAATATGTTTTATTGCAGGTCTAATATTCTTCATGCTATGACATACAAAATTCTACATGTGGTTATATTAAAAACAATCTTAAAATTCCAAGGTCCAATCTGAATGGTTTCTATGTAATGACCCGTCCATGGGTGTTACTGGTACTGCCATTAATGATTGAGCTGAATACTCAGACAAATGCGTATCTAGTACAGCTAATGCACTTTTTACAAGATTGAATATCATTGGAGTAAAATATGTCAGCATCCGTAATCATGATGAAGGAAAATCCTCATTTGGGTAGCTGTGTGTCCAATCTGTTACTCTTGTGATCATAAATGATCTGAATCTCAATCCTGAGGCTGTTGTAGGAAATTCTTAATCAAGAATAATCTCTTGAGATGTACTGTCTCATTTTTTAGGGGGTTCCTTAACAAAAATAGTACAAAATAAGCAAAATCAGACATAAGGTTTAACAGAAACTCAAGGTGCCAAGATAAATGAACAAATAGTTTTATCAATAATAAATATAGCAATTTCTGATCAACCAATATCAATATCAGACTGAAAATAACAGTTTCTGAATAGGTCCTACCCATTTCAGATTTAAGTCTCACCCACTTCTGGTTAAACCCTGCCAGTTCCAAGTACAGATATGGATACAGATCATTTAACTGGCTGAACAGATACAGATACAGGTACAGATACAGATACAGATACAGATACAGATACAGAAGATGGTGTACTCATTCATCCCTAGCATCATTTTAAACCTATGTGGTCCAGTCTAAGCCTTGCTTTCATGAATCTCCTCCCTATATTCCGTTCTTCACTGTGACTGCCTTTTGTTTTTGAAGTTACCTTAGACAAGTCTTCACAGTCGGAAAATGACTGTTGGATAATTTTTCCGGGGCTGGTCTTTTAGTGTTTTTCAATGTGCAGAACAAGTCAAGTCATCACTTAAAATCACAAAAAAAGGAAAAAAAGAAAAGAAAAGAAAAGCAACGTCTGCACAGCAGGCTCTGGAAGTATTAACAGGAAGTTCATCAAAGTTGCTGTTGTGTTGTCAAAGCTGTTGCTATGGAGACAAACATCTGGACTACCTTGCTTTGCTTGCTGCCACTGCAACCCAGTCCTGAAGGAGCATTGGAAAATAGATGGATGGATGGAGTTCATCAAAATGTGTGTCTAAGTATGATTTGGTTATGATTTTAAGAATGAAACAACATGATAAAGAACCTTTGATGGCACGCTGTTTGATTGTATCACCTAATCATCAACTCTCACTGTTAGTACACAAGATATTATGTCACTCTTGCACAAGGATTTCCACTCAGTGCACACTGAAGAAGGTTACATCATGCAAGAATGCTAACTGTAATGATAATACTTTGTTCCTTCTGCAAGGACGCACATAAAGTGGAAAGTTGAAGTCATAATAATGGTGGGATTTTCTGAGCCTTTTAAGCTTTTGGCCAGAGGAGAGGGACCAACGGAGAGTGGCTACAATTATGCAATGGAAAAAGACAAGGGAAAGCTGGACTGAACGGAAGGAAAAGAAAAGAAAGGAAAGAGGAGAGCATTATTTAAAAGAATGGAAAACAGCACTATGGGAAAACCTGCCACTTTGAAATAAGGTGAGAGCACTTTTTTGGAAACAGTGCCACAGAAGATGAGTATTCCAGAAGGACTGCTGCTGAATTGCTGACATCGGCCAATCAGTTTCTTCTACCTCAACCACAGAGGGAAGGCAACACAAAGCAGTGCAGTGGGCCAGGCCTGTGGTACATAGTGCTACTCTGGGAAAAAGCGATCCGGCGCCTGGAAAGAAACGTTATGTCATCCATCTCACGTGATGCTGTGTTGAACTCTGCTGCCATGGAGACGGCGAAGACGATGAGGAGAATAAAAGTGAGGTAGTGGCAGCCTTAACTGTTTAAGTTCAAGAACTACCGGCGTGTTTGCGAGGTCATACCACTAGAGTCAAATTCTCCATGGGATGATGAGAACATAAACACAAAACTGCAGGTGTTCCTGGTAGACTGTAGCCTGTTAAAAGACTGACCTTTAAGTTAGAAATGAAATACGCAACATATTGAAGCCATTGCCATTCTCTGACTCATACTGTATTGTCTTCGTCCCCTCTGGGACATAAGGCCACAGTCAGCTCCCCCCATTGCTTCCTGTCCTTGGAAACACGTTAAGCCTCCTCCCAAGTTAAGCTCATCTTGGCTAGTTTGTCTCTAGTGCCTTTTTCACTGCCTGTTGAAGGTGGGAATGTCATGTTGTTATGCTGTCTCACTGTGTTGTATGTGAGGTAGAATTGTGGAATAGGGGGACAGAGTTGTCTCGCCTTTAGTTGCCAGGGGAGGTGTTAACAGCACCAAAATGATGTAAACAGGACAGTCGCAGGATGGGTTCATGACATTTTGACAGCACATTCCCACTCTGATCTCATTACATATCGATGTTTGGTCATGGCCTTTCCACATTGACATGACGTGCTAGGTACCCTGGGTGTGTTGGTTGTTGATGCTCTGGGAGGCCATGTCAACTACATTGTCTGATTTATTGCATTTTCACAGGAAATGTACAGTATG